CTCAGCATGCCGCAGATGTCCCACAGTACCTGTCCAGTCCTCCTTGGCCTACTCAAGGGCAGACTGGTCCACAGTGAGCAGTGGTTGTATCTAATCAGAGTGTGAGTGTATTTGCTGTAGTTGAAATACCACCAGAAACCAGTGCAAGAATCCTAGACAGGAGGTACACTGAAGTCCTTGCTGGGCAGACAGCTAATTCTAGGTTGATTTCCCCCCCAACCCCGGTATTTTAGAGCAGTATAATATAGTAAAGTCTCTTACCTTTCTTGTTTCTGCTCTCTTTTCATACATAAGCTGCTTCTTCAAGAAAAGTAGTCCCTGAGCTCACAACTGGATTATTAGCTTCTGCTCATCCTCCATTCGCATTTACATTCAGCTGTTCTTGAACTACCTATGGCAGACTGGGGACTTCCTAACTCCCACTTGCCCTAAGTGAAAGTTTGCTTTCTACTTCTTTGTGTACGTGGAGTTTGTTTTTTAAAAGAGATAATATATACAAACTTCAACTTGAAACCAAAACGAGAAATGGATTTTGCAATACACAGGGGAAAGTTCTCAGAAGCCAACTTTGGTACACATGGCTTTGGAAGCTCGTTTGCCTGCCCTTTCCTCACATGGTAGGCTTCTGCTGCACACAAATCTAGAATGAAGGGGTTATGTAGAGAGATTTCTATTACCATTACTGATGGAGCAGCAAGCTTTTAGGGCCATTATAGTTGCATCATTTGCCCAATATGCAAGATAGTCATGTTCAGTGTATTTTCTGCAGTGAAATTAAGTGAGCTGGCTTGGTATACCTATGTGGCCAGAGTTGTTTGTGTTTGTTTTCACAACATTTTTCAAGCAAAACTGCAGTTTTCAGTAGGGCATTGTAGTCTTTTAGAGTAATAACATATTTATTTACAGCAGGTAAGAATGGGGATAGATATAAAGGGCTATATTTCTGAATTTAACAGCACTAGGGTCCCATTCTTTGTCCTGAGGATAAGAGGCATAGCTCAACTCTCATGGCAAAAACCTCTATCCTGACCTTCCTCTACAGCCTCTCCTCTTCCATGTTGGGAACAGCCTGTATCCTGGGTTATTTGCTGAGCCATGCCCAGGCACCACATGAGCAAGGGCTAGGCCATGTGGTCCTAGATCTGTTTGGGCCACAGCTGGAGAAAAAGTCCTAAAATCATAAGGTTGCCAAGGGTGACCACTATAGAAGAGAAGGCAGCGCAGATGCAGAAAGAAAATACTAGAGAGAGAGTTGAGGACAGAGGATGTAATGTTGGCTAAAGCTTGCCAGAGGCTGCAGTGGTGAGGCTTAAGGTGTGCAGATTTTGTTTGGTTTTATGTTTTTAAGTCTTGTGCCATAGATTAAGACAGAATTGAAAAGGCGCTCAAATGGCTTAAAGCTGGCATAACTGCTCTGCTTCAGAATGTGTGCTGAGCCACTTAAAGATGGGCTTCCCATAGGGTATTGCCAAGTATGTTTCTGATAAGATTTTGGCTTAGTAGGACTGGCTTGGCTTTTGCTTGATTTTTTTAACTATTTAGAGAATTCTCCACTTTTCCTTTCAGTTCCCTGCTGAATCTGTAATATGCTGCTGGGGTTGATCACATGTCATGTTACTGTGGGCAGTAGCTATGAAAAATTATGATGCTTCTCATGAGCATCAAGGGAAACAGTGATAAAAAAGTAGCCCAAACCAGTACTACAAAGGTAGAAAAAAAGCACTCCTTAGACGATTTTTGTGGCTGCAAGGTGCTGTACCTTCTATATGAATTTTGGCTTAGTGGACACTCAGCATGTGTGTCTGTCTTTTTCCCATGAATTGTGGATGAAAAAGGAAATGTAAGACCTCCCACCCTCCAAACACATGCCAGTGTTTGGGAGTTGGCATGTTGTATTCCTGTTGATTTTTTCAGGAGCTAAACAAGACTACCTCAAAAAGCTGTCAGCAGCAGCAAAGGCACCAGAGTCATTCATCTGCAGATTTGAGGGTGCAGCACTGTTTTCTCTTATAGCAGACAATTATCTCTGTCAATTTTGAAGTTGCAGATAGGTTTTTAAAAATAAAAAAACATTGAACTGCTGTTTCAAAATTTGAGAGTTGAGGATTTAATTACATTCTGACATAAAGAATGGAAAATAACACACTGATGACACACAGGAAGCAAGTTCTGGCAAGATGGGGTCTTCTGTAGGCTGTTGTCTTGTGGTCCTGTTCACATGAGAGCGTTGTTTGACTCACAAATTCTTTTTAAACTGTAGAGAATTTTTTAAATATACAATGAGTTTGTCACCTACAGCTGCAAAATAAATTTAAAGTTTCGCTACAACAAGCTCTGTGTGGATGCATTTATTATATATTTTAATTTTTACGGATGTGAAAAAAAAAAAGCTGGTGGAATAATGTATGCATTAGTCTAATCCATTTTTTTTAGAAAGTGATATAATGTTTTCTTCTAAATGCACACAGTGTTCTTAAATTATCCTGTGGTTCACTTTTATACAAGAACTGTGTGCAATATTTCTTCTTCTAACAGCAATAGCATCTATCACACAGATGCATTCACCTTTCATATACATATTTATTCACATTTGTTATTGCAGTTATGATGGTTACTGTGATGAGTTGGTTTTTAGATACGATTTTAGGTACTATTTTACCTGTGTGATGGCACTAGATAAAAGATTCATTGTACCCTCAGTTGGCAGCAGTTTATAAAACTTTTATCTCTGCTAATGGAATACTGTTACACAGTAAATGCCTTGTGCAGATACAGAAGACTGTATTAACGTTGTGTAGCTAATAGTTCAACTTTGAAATACCAGTTAGACTGGGGACATTGAATGTTAAAAAACAATTATGAAATTCAGGTTTAAAGTGCATTATACAGAGAGACTTGAAAATTCTTGTTTTGGTTGATGCTGTTCTCAGATAACAGCTTCAGAAACTTCAAATAGAAATTTGCTTTCTATGGTTTAGTGCTCGTGTCTGATATGCTGGAAACCTAACTAAGATCTACAGTATTTCCTGTTTATGGTACAGTGCTGTGGGATGGTGGAGGTTGCTGCTGCACTGGGATGTAGAAGAGAGCAGTGAATGTATGAGTTGAAAGGGAGGAGGAGAGGTAGAAGCTTTTTACCTTCGGGTTTGTCCGAAGCCATTACCTGTCCCCAATGCCTGCTGAATGTAGATTGTGTCAGATTAGCAGATGACACCAAATCGGGGCTGGGGGAGCACAGTTGACATGCTTGAAGGCACCGGCTGCTGTTTTGAAGGACGCAGAAGCTTATGAAATCCAGCAAGGTCAAATGCCAGTTCCCGTCCCTGGGAAGGTGGAATTGCTGATATACGTACAGGCTGGGGCCTGATAGGTTTGGGAGCAGCTACGCTGAAAAGCATCTGGTGGGCAGCATGCTGGAAATGAGCTAGTCATATACCCTGGCATCAAACACAGCCAAGAGCATCCTGGGCTGCATTAATAGCCTGCATGTTGAGAGAAGTGATAATCCTTCTTTGTCTGGAACTCATTAGTCCGCATCCAGAATACAGTATCCCATTTTGAGTCCAACAGTAGAAGAAAGACATTGATACAGTGGAGAAAGTTCTGTGGCTGTGGGAGCTGGAGCACATGCCATGTGAGGAGATGTTGAGGGAGGTGGTCTTGCTCAGCTTAGAGAAGAGACAGCTTTGGGGGGACCTTCCAATACACACAGGGGAGGTTATCCCGAAGACAGATCTGGGCCTTTCACAGTGGTGCCTGTTGGGAAGGACAGGAAAGAGGACACTGGACTTGAAAAGAAAGTTCTAGTCCGGGTATAAGGAAAATTTTTGGTCACTATAAGGGCAGTCAAGCCATGGAGCATGTTGCTCATGAGGTTGTGCCCTTTCTATCCTTGGAGGTTTTCAAGACCCAACGGGGCAAGACCTTGAACAGCCTGGTGTGACCCTACAGGTGGCCCTGCTTTGAGCCAGAGATTGGGAGTAGAGAGCTGCTGAGGTCCCTCCCAGCCAGAGTGGCTCTGCGATTCTGACCTAGGGCAAAACTTAATTTATTTTTTCCTTATTTTTTGGTACATGATTATAAGCCGTTTGTTCAGCCTTTTTGGTGCATCAGTTACCTGTCTATAAGGTGGAGGTAACACTAATTGTCTGCCTCAGTGGTATTGCAAGATAAGATGTATGAAAGGCTATGATATATTGGATGCTTTGGCAAAGTAGGTATAGACAACTAAGCAGGTAGGCTTTTCAAGTCTGCCTGCGATGCTGATAGAGGGGTATTGTGCATCTTATCAAGCACTAACTGTGAAGTCTTAAGAAGCTGGTTTTTTGTGGGTTTACTTTTATGAAACACCACCATATATCTTTGCCTGTGTGCTTGCAAAGACGTTGATCACCTTAAAAGGTAAGTCAGCTGCAAAATATGTTAGCGTTAGCAACGGCTCTGACAGCAGGCTCGCTATATGCTTCTGCCAATTATGGTAACATTTGTCATATTTTCCTAGTTAATAATTTTCTTCCTACTATAGTTGTTGTTTCTGTGGGCTTCTCGACAGAGGGGAAGCAGACTTAGCTGCTTTTACATCAAGAGCACTGAACCCGGTTCTGTCCTGTGCGTCAAATCTACAGCTAATTGATTGATAAATGGAGAAGTCTTTTGGTTTTGTTTGTTTGTTTGTTTGTTTTTCCCACACACCTTTCAGCTTTGGTGATCTTTAGTAAGGGATTTGCAAAGCTGTCCTACATTTTTCACACATAAATAAGGAATTGACCTCCTTTAGAAAGAAAAAAAAAGTATTGATTGGAAGAGTTACTTAAAATTACTTTCATTTTGTTGCATTTCAATTTATAAAGATTCTTTGAGGTAGCATTAGAATAGGCAGGGGTTTAGACATAGAAGTTTTAAGAATTCTTAGAAGCTGGATATTTAGAATATTCTGTAATACCTTTTTTTAACTGTTTCTTCTTTTCCTTCTCCCTCTCCACCCACCTTTTCTTCTGCAGGAAATAAAGAAGGACATGAAGAAAGAAAATACTGCCAACAAACCACCAGAGAAGCCTATAAATGAAGTTTCCAATGGAAGCCCTTTACTGTTGTCTGAGACAATTATTAGAACCAACAAAAAAGGTATAGTATATGGAAGCTTAAATGCAGCTTAAATCGGACCTTTAAAAGAACAAAATGTAAACCTTCCTTGTTTCTATAAATAAAGCTAGTGTCTATTTAACTGTAAAAGCATATCAGGAATAATAATAAAAAATATATCTCATTGTCTGCTTAGGCTGGCGTATGGATGCATGTATTATGTCTAATATTTCCACATTAATTTCCACAGACATCCCTTTCTTCTTAAAGAAATCCTTTCTAGATACATTTAATTAAGGAAAGCTGTATGAAAAGATTACTAAAGCTTATTAAAGTAAGGAACTGACAGCTTGCATATACGGAGGTTTTTGCATAGTGATGTCAGTCCACATTCATGTATTCGTGTTCTATCTGGGACAGAGACTGGTTACTGACAAAAGAACTTAAAAAAAAAAAGAAAGAAAAAAAAAGTGGAAAACATAAAACTTAACGCATTAGTTTCCTGGGAAGTGTCTGTCACTGTCTTCTGTTTCAGACTGGAATGTGTGCTCTCCACATCTGGCTTGACTCCCAATGGGGATTCCTATGTATGGTTTTGAGTTGCTAAAATCAAAGCCTCCAGATCTTCTGTTTATTTCCCTAGCTCCCAGTCTTGCTCTCAGAAATATCAGAACAAAACAAAAAATTGGCAATATAAAAGCTGGATTTTTCTTTAGGTTATGTTTATGCTCATGTTTGTTAGTGGGAAGACAGCTGGCTATGTGCAAGAGATGGGCTATATTTTTTCATGGACAATTCACTGGACAGTTTCTTGCTTGATGCCTTTTACTGCTGTCATTGATCATGTAATGTAATTTCCATTTTGGCATGTCTTCTATACTGGTAGGACTATGCATATAGAAATTTCCTCTTCCATATTATCAGCGAATATTGTATTTGAGATGGCAGTCTCTCACACTTAAGGTTTGCAACTGCAAGTTAGGAAGACTTAATAATTTCTGCAAAATGTATGACTTCCTTTAAAATGGGAGCGGGAGTAATCTCCACCTCTTTTGCAATAAGTGATGTCCTCTGAAAGAAAAAATTGGAAATCAATCTCAGAAAGCTTTGCGTTTGTAATGTCATCTTGAATCTGGAAACACATCCAACATTTCTGGTTTGGGTCATAGGTTTTTCAAGCAACAGCAGAATTAAATTACCAAGAATTATTCTTTTTCATGGCTGCTATACAGAACCATATGAGTAGTTGGGAAATTATCTAGGGACCAAGTCTGTTCCATATTGCTTCAGCTGCTATTTGGAGAAGGCTAATAGCTGCAGCAGATGCAGAGATTCAGTTCAGTCACAAGGGGATAACACTCCAAATATGATACTTAGAGCACAGGCTTTCTCCTCCTCTTTCTTCTCTCTGGCTCGGAAGCTTTAAAGGATTCAGGAGATAAAGAAGTTCTCTTTTTCGGTCTGTAGCTGGAGAATACAAGACTTCATATTTATTGAACAGAGAGGAGCAACGACTAACACAAAGATCTGTAGCTTGAAGGAAAGAGATTAGGTTTAGATATTGCAGATTTCACATTAGGATGTTATTGCATTGGATTTCATTGGTGGGGATTGCATTTCTCATGGTTACTTCTACATAGTGTCAGGGTTAGTAAATTTTTCATTTTGGCTGCTTTCCCACAGCTGTTTCAATTGCTGCAGAGCAAGCAGAGCAACTAAGGATGCATAGAGCATAACAAGGGCAAGAGGGCTTCACCTCTTTTTTTCTGGGGTCAGTTTGAGCATGGTGCCAAAGTAGCCTTGTTTAAGTGAGGACAGCTGAGGAAGTAATTACTGTTGTGTTCAGTAATAAAGAGTCTTCTAACATCTGTGTGGCAAATCTCTGTGTGAAAAGTGTTGCAATATTTTACTGAAGAGGGAGCCCTAGATGCCACAAGGATTATTTTCTTCAAGTGTTCTTGTGCTATGATTTTTATTAAACCCTACCTCAATCTGTTTACTCATCACAGAATGTGACCTGACCTGAAAAAGGGTACTTTTTTTTTTCCTCGTTGTTGTTAGGAAGTGAGGAAGAGAGGGATGCATCTAAAGGTCTTTAGCCACTGTTCAGCAGTAAAAATAGTAGGCAATATTATTTATTTGCTTGGGCGATGCAATCTTGCTACTTGGAGCTTCAGAGCAGATCCAGCAACATAGGAGTGAAGCATTCTGTGACGGTGCATTGTTTCTATTACCACGATGATACTAAGTGCTTTTCTAGTGCTGTGTTGTTACATTGTATAGCTTTACTACTTAACTTGGTTGGCCTAATTTAAGTGGCAACAATTTATCAGGCATTTACATTTTGAGCAGAAGAATCTTGGCCTTTTCCGTGTCTGGCTTGTAAAGAGTTTTTCCTTGAGGAATATTGACAAGTGTCCAACAGTGGTATTCAAGGAAAATAGCTAAATTATTTGTAAGAAACATCTAAGTAGTTAAGAGGAAAAGAATGGATTTCTGAACAAAAAAGATATTTAGGATCCAAATTTATATCTTGTTTGTTCATGTTAATTATTTCTAAGCACTTTATTGAGGTTAGAGGTTCTTATAATAAAATCAGTGTAAATTGAAATGCCTCTTGTAAAGGCTTATTTCATCAAATAAGTAATGGGCATTACTACTTTGGATTACAGATGTAATCTAGGAACAATTTAAAGTTGGTGTAACACCACCGATAGTAGCCTACCTGGGTTAGTACTTTTGTTACATAGTGAGGGTGACAACTGATTGTGGTATTATTAGTTGTAGGTCACCATCTGTGAATCATTTAGGTTTTTGTTATAAAGACTATGAGAAGTTGGAAGGATTTGATTTTGTCTGCTTTTCACTGGGGGCAGTAGAAATGGAACGTTTCTCATCCTTTAGTGCTTCTTGCTGACCACAAGTACTAGTGACCTAATGGAAACAAATGGTAGAAATGACTGCTGTGGTGGACACTATTTAGGAAAATGTTACACTTCGTAGAATCATAGAATGGTTTGGGTTGGAAGTTAGCTTTTTGACTGAGTGGGTCAGTCAGTGCCCCCTGCCACGGGCACTCCCACACCTCCCACTAGACCAGGTTGCTCAAAGCCCCATCCAACCTGGCCTTGAACACTTCCAGGAATCAAGTGTCCACAACTTCCCTGGGCAACCTGTTCCAGTGTCTCACCACCTTCAGAGTGAAAAATTTCTTCCTAATATCTAATCTAAATCTCTCCGCTTTCAATTTAAAACCGTTACCCCTCATCCTATCGCTACACTCCCTGATAAAGAGTCCCTCCCCATCTCTCATGTAGGCCCCCTTTAGGTACTGGAAGGCTGTTATAAGGTCTCCCCAGAGCCTTCTCTTCTCCAGGCAGAACAAACCCCTTTTTGAGAGTTAATATTTATAGGTATTTCCTCTCTTTACAGGGTTGTAAGTATAATCTAGAAGTTCGGGCTACACCTAAGAAATAATGGGTTTATTTTCTAGGTCTGCCACAGAGTTGCTGTGTAACTTTTGCTAAATCACTTAAACTCTGTTGGCCAAATTACCACACTTTAATTTCCAAGGTCGGGTATCTTAATACATATTGATTTTCAGATAGGCAAGGGTTTTTTTTTTTTCCCTATTCATTGCAGTGGCATATCCAAATTTATTCGTAACTTCCAAGTATTTCAGGTGTCTCCGCCTCAGGCTGGCTATTGGCAAAACCTAGGTTTATACCTATTTCATAAAGATGTTGAGATCTGTTATAGCATGGTAGTGATGACAGTTACCATCTAGGGAACAGAACATTCTAGTATAGCATTCCAGTGAGTTCACGCTTCACCTCTGAAAGGCTCAAAAAAGGACCATTTGCAGTTGTGTAAAGATGGGGTTAGAGAAATAGAAAGTCCTTGTGTGTTCCCTGACAGTTTCCTGGGCTGCAGCAGCTCTAGGCTAGTTTTGATGGGTGCTTCAGGTGCTGCATTATTTAGGGAAGAAGGCTGTGACACTGAATGACCTGTCTGAAGCTGTATGAATGTCAGCTGTGGTTGGCTTGCATATCCTTTGCCAGAACCTGGGAGGGATCATTCTTTTGCTTCTTCCTGCAGTTCATATGCCAAGAAAATTCTTTCCTTGCCAGGTGTGGGTCTTTTAGTGTATCATTTCACTGCTCCAGAATTTTTGGTTGGCATATGGAACTATTGTTCTAAAACTTCTGTAAAGCTGACTTCAAAAAAAAAAAAAAAATATCCTTTTTTCTATTTAGAATTGGCATTGTTGCACCCTGGTAATAACAGATTGGGAAAACCTTTTCTTCCCTGAGAACATTTTCAGATTGTTTTTAAAAATCAAAATTATTGCTATTGTTACTATTATTTAATAACGTAAGAGAATTACAGTCAGGTCTTGAAACAGGAAAACACTGAAAGAGAGAGAGATAGATATATTTTTAAAAATGCTTTTCCAACATGGTGAAATTCCATCTTTTGTAAAAGTTTTCTTTCAAAATCTAAAAACAGATCCGAAGTTGTGCAACTGTTTCAGATCTGTCATAAATCCAGTACGATCTCCATCCAGGTATAAAGGGACATAATGGGAACTTGTATGCAATGAGCTCAACTGTTCAGTGGCAATGGATTGTTCTAGAATACTTTTGTTCTGATTTTTGAGTATCCTATTCATTGCACTATTTTGTGTATCTGGAAATAGGAGCCCACTTGCATAGGCCAAATTGCAAAACTAGAATTGATAGGCTGTATTTTGTAAGTAAACTAACAACCATGATTATACAAGTAAAAATATTTGAGGAAAAGATATATTGCCTTGCCAGATGTATTTGTTTTATATAAACTGTAAATGCAGCCTGCAACGAGGTTATTCAAGCCAGCAAATCTGGAACAGCTCATCATGTGTTACATGATCTTAATCAGAGACAAACATTGAAAGCAAGGAAATGTTTTTTCTAGTTCTCTTGAGAATTATTTATTTTACCTTCCAGCCTACATTTAAATAATAGAGAGATTTGCATCCTTCCTAAAAGGGAGAGTTTTGT